CATGCGCACACACAGACACACAGACACGCACACACACAGACACGCGCACACACACAGACACAGACACACAGACACAGACACACACACAGACATGCACACACACACACACACAGACATGCACACACACACGCACGCACACACACACACACAGACACGCACACACACAGACACGCAGACACACGCACACAGACACGCACACACACGCACACAGACACGCACACACACGCACACACGCACACACGCACACACACACGCACACACATCTGTGAGCAAGTAAGATTTTGTATTTCCCTGCTACTTAAAAGACTCTTTTCATGATTCATCACAAGCCCCATGGTTTTCCTGCCTCTCCATGAAATAGATGTGCTGCTGCTCATCTGTCTGGCCGTCCACCTGGCCCATGTATGTGGCATTCACAGCAAACCTCAGTTTACTTTCCTCCCTTCACATTCATAGATATGGTAGAATAATAGGACTCAAGGTAAGTGTGAAAAAGTTTGAGATCCAATAAATCCATTAATGGTCTCGAAACAAATATTTAAGTTCTGGATTCATTGGCTGAAAATGGGTAAGTATGATACAAGCCTTAAGAGAATGTAGAATATTTTTGAACTGAAAAGGATGTAGAATTTTTCATACTGGAAATTTTCCATTGTTTTTAGTAACTTAAAAAATTATGCATTCTTATCACAGTTCCTCAAATGCTTTCATAAATAATAGAAGAGGGAATAACCTAGAGTTGTTATTGTTTTTCTCTGTTATGTCACATATGAATATCAAAAAAAAATATGAGCGGGGTATTGTACATGCCTGTAATCCCAGCGGCTTGAGAGGCCGAGGCAGGAGGATAGCAAGTTCAAAGCAGCCTCAGCAAAAGTGAGGTGCTAAGTGACTCGGAGACAAAATACAAAATAGGACTGGGAATGTGGCTCAGTGGTCAGGTGCCCCTCAGTTCTATCAGTACCAAAAAATAAATATATTTCCACTACTAAACCAAACCATAGCCCTTCTCAATTTTTAATTCATTTCCAGAGGTTTTTGTGGATGGGGGGTAGGACAATATCTGGTAAATAGGCCACGTGGTTTTCTTTCTTCCTCTTCCTTCCCTCCTTCCTATAGTACTGGGATGGAGCTCAGGGTACTCTACCCTCTGTACATTGGAGACGGTGTCTCACTGCGTTGCCCAGGCTGGACTTGAACCTGTGGTCCTCCTGCCTTAAATCACCCACAGCGTCTGTAGTGGTGTTGTCATAAGGTGAACGCTTAGCTACATCCCCATTCTCACACACACACGCACGCACACACGCACGCACAGGAACTGTACTAGCCTGTAGTGGTGTTGTCATAAGGTGAACGCTTAGGTACATCCCCATTCACACACACACACACACGCACGCACAGGAACTGTACTAGCCTGTAGTGGTGTTGTCATAAGGTGAATGCTTAGGTACATCCCCATTCACATACACACGCACGCACAACGCACGCACAGGAACTGTACTAGCCTGGCAGAGGATCCCATCGTGCTGTAAATGGATTTTTCTCCTCTTCCATCCCCAGAGGAAGCACATGCCATCATTCTAACACTGTAAATTAGTTTGAACTGTTCTTAAACTTGATGTAAATGGAAGAATTTACCAGTGTTTGAATTTGACTTTTTTTTCCTAAATATTAGGTTTCTGAATCTAGGCTGTTTTTAAATGTAGCTGTAACTGAACCATTTTCATGGGCAAATAGTGTTCCATTGCAAACAGCATGAATTATCCGTCTTATTAAAATGGAAGTAGATACTTTCAGCATGTTAATAATAATGTCACTGATACAGTTGGCAACATTCTTGCTTTTACTCACTTGGATGAGAAGGTTTTTTGTGTGTTTAGCAAGGAGTGTAATTGCTGAGTCATGGGAAATGTAATGGATTGACTTTATTTTGACAAATAAATTTCCCAAGTAGTTGAGTGACTTTACAGTCCCCATTGCAGAGCATAAAAAAAAAAAAGGCTCCATGTACGCGGCAGCACTTGCAGCACTGTTTTGGTGTCCACACGTGGTGGC